AGATTGAATTTTCCCTTGCTATATTGGCTAGCACATATATGTTTTGGTATGTGTGTTCCTTCCTCGTACTGGGTCCCTTCTTGGACTCTTGCCTCTTTCTCTATTACTTCACTGTGCTCCAGGACCGAATGGCCCTCAAGCAAAGCTCTGCCACCTGTGGTCCTCCTGCCAGTAACGTGAGCATTACCTGGGACCTTCTTAGACTTTCAGATGCTCATGTGCCACCCAGACCTCAACAAACACAGCCTTCCTTTTAACAAGACTTTTAAGTGATTTCCATGCATGTACAAGTTTGAGAAACACTGTTATTGAGTATCGGGGGCAGGTAAGTGACAGCAAGCTACTTCTCAGAAACACTGCACTGTTTTAATTGTGAATTGATAACTGGCACCATATCGGCATGTTTGCACACAGATGAAGAGTCATGATGCCAGCAATTACTGAACTCTACAGGATCAAAACTAGTTTTAAAGGTAACACAAACATTTCACTTGAATTTTATTGGAAATTATTGAACTTTTTTTCACCACTAGGGTTTGAAACCAGGACCTTACAGAAGTACTCTATCACTAGTCTACACAGTCAGATCTCTTTAACTTTTCAGCATTGTAAAGGCAAAAGAAAGAAAACCTTCAAGTTTCCTTGAAGATTACCAATGTATTCAGTTATACTGTCCAACTAACAGTTTTCAAGATTTGAAATAGGATTTTTCCTGCTGTCCTTGGTTGTGCTTAGTATCCATAAACTACAATATGAGTGCTACAAACAATCAAATTTGGTACCATTTCCAATTTCCTATATCTGCTAATCCCAATTTTCTCTCCGCTTTTCAACTGAAATCGAAAACAACCATAAAAAATGGTGTGGGTGGAACAAAACTGCCACTGTTATCCATAACACTCAACTGAATTGTTGGATCCAGCCAAACAGCCACGTTGTCTATATTAATTCATCGTCTGCTAAGTAATTGTTGCATATTCAAACTTTCAGAATATGACTTTTTTTCACCGCATGTTTTGGGGACGCAAGTAAGTTTCATTTGAAAAGAATCCATTTGGATTCGAAAGCGTTTTGAAAGGTCATAAGTGGAAGATGATTAGGTCCGAAAAAGTCTCAGACTCCAGAGTTGTCTGGGCCAAGTAATTGGATACATGGCTGCATCTGGAGCCTTTTGATCACAACATACTGACATCTGCCAGCTTCTGCCCTGTCTTCCCCTGATCCCAGCCAAGTATTTCTCAAGCAGAATTAGTCAAGTCATTTTGATTCATTTTTTATGTGACTGAAACTTTCAAACTAGGATGTGGCCTGAAACAAATGATTCATTTCCTATGGCCTGCTAAAAGAATTAGCTCATGAGAGTATGACTGAATTTAACACTGAAATGTTAGGTAAAAATAATCTGTCTGTATTGCATATAGTGAAAGAGGAATTGCTTCTGAAATGACTTTTCAGTCTATGATGGCATAACTTCCTGGCATTTCATGCGTCCCTGTGTTCATGTAGTCTGTTAGTAGACATTTCCTGAGTGTGTTCTGCACACCTTTTATACAAAGAACCAAAAGCTAAACACAGCTCACTGCAGGAGTCTCCTTTTAGCTGCCCCAACAAATAACTTCTAAGCACCGTGATAAGAATAGATGAGATACATGCAATGATTCATTCTATGGGAAGACAAGAGAAGAAATAAATGATTATGAAGGGACACTAGGTTAATGTGTTTTGTTTTGCTTAGTCACTGGTCATCACAGCTAAAATAGATGAGGATATGATAGTAGGATCTGAAATTACTTTTGAATCAACTTATTTTGGAAATAAAACATTTCACACCATTGTGAATTAGAACGCTAATAATCTGTATAAGGAGAATGTCAATTTTAAAGACTAAATGGTAAGAAACAAACAGCAAGAATAAGATATTGAAATTCCATCTAAATAAAAATAATCAATTTTTAGGCATTTAGAAATCCCTACACTTCATTTTAGAAGTATGTGGTTATTCTCACTTAGTAGTTATTTGGTTCCCCTATGTGTAAAGACATAGCAATCTATTTATCATAAAAATGTGGATTTTTCTACTTGGTTCAGTTTTCAGAGCAATTTAGATTCCAAACTGGTTCCTCTTTGCCCCTCAGTACTCTCCCGCACGACCTCCTCCTGAATTAATTGATATAATGAGCTCATGTAGATGACTTTTGCTATTAGGCTGAGCTAATATTAACCCACAATAATTTAGAAAGTAAATAGATTGCACAAAGACATATACTTGCCAAACAGCAAAATTAAGTATCTAGGATGTTTTAGTTTCCCATGATTTTGGAGTGTCTGTCCCTTGCTTCCATTTAGGATATGGAGAATGACAGCTGTTGGGTGTCAGCGCCTGCTATTGCGGCCCAGGCTAGGAATCCACATGGTGTGGTGGATATGGGAACAGACCCTGACCACATAGTGCCACACACAATTCACAATTATCCTTCCTGACCATAACTTTTCTCTCTGGCTCCACTAGCACCACTTTTCAATGTTTTATACAACATATTTTAACAGCCAGTTCCAAACTTTATTAAGCCTTCCCTCAAAGCGACCCCAGTATGCAAATTTCTGTAGCATTTCATTTTGCTTTTAAAACTGGTCAAATTCTTTCTGGTATTATATTTGGCTTGAATCTTATCCCCCACCCTCACCTCTACCTACCTTATAAGATAAGCTAATGGATGTGGACCATTGTTGTAACCTCCATAACACCAAGACCAAATTTGTGTCTATTAGACGTAGGGTAAATGTTTCCATTCTTCATGATAACCTGAGATCATGCCTGTGTTTCTACAGTGCTTCAACCCAATAGAGCTCTTTGTCCCATAGTCTCCTTCTACAGCACTGCCCATTCATTGCAGCTCAATCTGAAAGCTTTGAATTGTGACTGAAATCTACATATGAGCCCTCACATGAAATTCCATAGTATTCACATAAGCATTGCACCATTTTTCATTTCTGCCTTTTGGTGCTGTTCTCATATATCATATGTCTATTGCATAAGTGGTAAACTCTTTAAAGGTTATACACCCCATATTATTCATCTTTTATCCTTACATAGTGCTGTGCATACTGCAGGTGCTCAATAAATACTTGCTGCAGGTGTAAAATTTATGAGAAAATGTGGAACAATAGAACACTTACGTAGAATCAGCAAACTCTGTGTCACACCGAACTGTACCCTGGTCCAACATGTTTTAGGCATGGCTGATGGTAAATAGAGACAAGGGGATGGAAAATGCAGTCTTTAAAACCAGCTTTATCAGATTTTGTAGCAGGAAGCTACTAGGGAACTGTGATTAACGATTTTCACACAAGGTAGTTCTCTCTGTATTCATTGCCTGTGTCCCACTGTTATGGATTGTGCTGTTTTAATTTGAGAGGGAGGACTTTTTTATTTTACAGAGTTTCCTAGTAAAATCCGGACATCCTCTGTGAAAGCTAATACATAACATTTAATGCTTTCTTTTCAATCTGAGAGCATTTCAACCAAGAAAAGTTAGAGAGGGAACATCAGAGGGATGAATCAAAAGAAAGGTTGAGGAAATGGAAACATGAGAAAGAGTTTACACCACTAAAATAGGATGTCCCCGAGCACATTTCAACTCAGCTTTGCTAGGGCTCAAGCTGTGGAACTGGAAACTGTGGTACAGATATGTGTAGTTCACACTGGTAGCCCTCCAGTTCCTACCTTATAATTATCTACTTTGTGAACATTACGTCCAAACCTAATGCACTGGTGATACACATTGGAATTCTATTCAGTATTAAAAAGGATGAAATCTTGCCTTTTGAGATGGCATGGATGTAACTAGAGATCACTATATTAAGTGAAATAAGAACAGAGAGCCAAGTACTGCAAGAGCTTGCTCATATACAGAAACCAGGAAAGTAGATCTCACAGAAATTGAGAACGGAGTGATGGCTACCGGAGGCTGGAGGGTGGAAAAGTAGAGCTGAGAAAAGATGATCGATGGGTACTAAGCTACAGTTGGGTAGGAGTAGGAAGTTCCGGCGTGCTGTTGTATAGCAGGGTGGGTGACTATAGATAATATCTCTGTATTATATATTTCAAAAACTACAGAAAGGATTTTTAATATTTTCACCATAAGAAAATGATGTGTTTGAGGAGATAGATATGTTTAACTTGACTTAGTCATTCCACAACATAAACATATATCAAAACATCACATAGGACACAATGATAGGTGTAATTTTTATGTTTTGATGTGGTGTTAAAAATAAATTTAATTTAAAAATAAAATATTTTTAAAAGGTATCCCATTTTTAAAATGGCAAACTGAGGTTCTGAAAGATTAAATTAAGTAGATGCAGTTAGCTGTCCAGTCAACAGAGAGACATAGATTTGAACAGAAATTAGTTTTATTTCCTCTACATCTCCTCATGTTTCAGGAGGCAGCTTTAATTACCGAGCTGGGCATAGGTAGATGTGCTCTGAAGATTTAGAAATCTTTCTTTATCATGTCAGTATATTTCATAGCTTTTTGCCTGGCATTACTTCAAAAATTAAAATTTTTATGGAAAACTCAATGCTACTCATCTTTATCCTGGATTTGGCCTTGGGAAAGAAGAAAACAAGACAGGAACCGAGATGGCTTATCTTCCATCTCTCATCAGGCAGAAACTTAGTGTCTTTGTCTAGGGGTAAAACAAAACAAAACAAAAGGAAATGCATCTGTGATATGCAAATGATCCCTCAACTGGGTGTCTGTATCTGCTGTTTACTCACAAATAGGAAACACCAGGCCTGTGATACATCATCTTTCCTGCGCTTGGTGCCTTCCATCATGAAGCATATTAATCTGCTTAAACTAACTAGGATTAATTGCCTCAGTAAGGCAAGCTGGCATTGAGATGATATATTGCCCAAATAGCTTGGAATTTGGCCACTCATAAATCTCATTTGTTGGTTGGTTTATTTCTGTTTGTCTCTCTCTTTCTGACAGATGTGTGCCGAATCACTGTGAGCATGGTGGGAAATGCTCGCAAACGTGGGACAGCTTCAAATGCACTTGTGATGAGACCGGTTACAGCGGGGCCACCTGCCACAACTGTGAGTGCCAATTTATCTCACTTTAATCTTGTAATTGCATGAGAATCACCGGTCTTCAGTGAGGCTTGAAAGCACAGCCACCTGAATTATCCACACACCGCATCCATCCCTTGATTCCGAAAAACCCAAGACTCCTTTGTCGTTCTTCCAAAAAATAGTATTCTGGTTGTCAAAATTCATTCCCTCATGCCTAATGACTCCAGAGAAAGGGCCGACGCTTTCAGGGTTCCATATTTGAGACTGGAATGCAGATTCGGGTTTGCCTGTCTGTGTTTCAGCCACGACTATCCAAAGAGATTGTTCCAGAAACGTTAGTGGGATGTCTCTGAGCGGACCCTCATCTATCATGTCATCAGAGAGAGACACAGAGTGTAATCTGAATATTTTGCTTCTGGGCAGTGGTTGCCTTGTGCTTTAGCCCAAGTATTTGTCCATGGATTTTTAGGGGCTTTGTTTGTTTTTTAGATCAGAGAAATGAGTGGAAATGGACTACATCAAAGTTCTGTACCTAAAATACGAAAAGACATGAGAAGCCAAAATTTGAAAACTATTAAAAAATAAAGTACAAAAATGGCTAGTAAAATATTGATAATATTTTCTTCTATACAGCTTTATACTGAAAGGTTAAATAAAAATTAACCTTTTAAAATCAAAGCATGCTGACTCTGTAATAATACTAATTATTCAGTAATGCACTGCCATTTCATCAAGCACTTTTGTAAATAGATTTGCCATAAATATATAGCTGAGACAAGAGGGTCATGAGCTGTATAGTGTGTGTGAATATATGTGTGTATGTGCACAAGTGTGTGTGGGAAAGGAAGGAGGGTGAAAGGGAGAGAAAAAGAGATCCAGTTCTCTCTCTGTGTCCAAATACACATTGCCCAAACCGCTCATATGCTGAAACCTAACATCCCAGCCCCATAATTATACAGAGGGATTTCTCTTTCACTTTACTTTTAGGAAATGTCAACAAATAGTCCCAGCCTAGAGTCCTGGGTACAGTATAAGTACAGTATTATTCTCTCAGCCTTTCCATATTGTTGTTTGTATCAAGGTGCCGTAAGAAATCATGTTTAGAATGGTACTATAAGATGTAAACTAGGGGCTGGGGATTTAGCTCAGCGGCAAAAGCGCCTGCCTGGCAAGCGCAAGGTCGTGAGTTCGGTTCCTGGTACCGGAGAAAAACCAAAAAAAAAAAAAAAAAGATGTAAACTAAGGAAAGTTGTAATTCATTTTTCTTCACTTACTAATATTTCACAGAGACATTTCAAAAAACAATAGTCAAGAAAGACTTTTAGAAAACTAATACTAGTGGAAAGGTACTTTAAAAGTCAAACCAGACAGGCAGTAGGATTGCCATCAGTATAGCATTTACATATAGAAAAGTTTTAGTGAATAAAGAACAAAAGTGATTGGTAATGCAACTGATTGAAAGAAAGGCATCATACCTAACACTGCTTCTTACTAACTTTACCAAAATGTTGGCTTTTTTTTTGGTTTTTCTCAGGTTCCGGGAAAAAATGTTGGCTTTTAGTATGTGATATTCATTATATAAATTATGAGGCTCAAATAATTCCCTTTGGTAAACCAGGGACCTTCCTCTAATCAGTGTATTTGTATTGTATGTTATAAATAACCATGTTTAACTGCAGGAGATCTTGATTCTGAAATGTGGAAGTGAAACAGGAGGCAAAGATCAAGAAATTATTGGTGTTTGCAAGGTTCTTCTTCAATAACTTTGATTTTGAAGTTTGTGATCTTTTTAAAAGAGCTGTTTGCCTCATTTAAAGACACTATGAAGAGAAAGAATCTTCAGAAATACATATTCCCTATGGAATAGTTGACCCTTGGTTTTTAAAAGTAATAACTGTAAGTCTCCAAACCTGTGTTTGAGTGTGGCTCCAGAAGCCAGATCTAAATGCAAAAGAGGGAAATCGTCTCACGGCCTGTTGCTCCTCACCACTTATTCCTTGTTCCATTTGTTACAAAGCCATAAAAATCATCATCTTTTTTAAATAATGAAAACCTGATCCCTTGTTGCCTTCCCTAAGCGAGGTGAATATCCTCAGTATCAGGTACGTGTGCAAGGAGAGATTAAAAGGCCATATTACATAATTCAAGAAAGGGTTTTGCTCTGAAGAATATCCCTCAAAGCTTATTAAAGGGATTTATGTCCTTCAGAAAAGATCTGACACCTCTCTTAGTACTCTCATGGACTAGGTAATTGAGAGTGTCTGGAGTAGCCCATAACACAATGTAAAAAGATATAATGTTTACCATCAAGTTTAACACATAGAATTGCAAAATTCTGCATTGGTGAGAAGTCAAAGCGTACATTCAAAGCAAGAGCATTGATATGGAAACATCTGGATTCTGGTGCTGGTTATGGGTACAACATGCTGTATGCCTGGCTCATTCTCTAGAGCTCTTTCTCCTCCCATTGACTAAGTGTTGCTGATGCCTCTTAAATGTCAGAAGGCCAGAAAGCTATCTCAAGGTGCCTATTCTGTTTTTTGTGGTTTTTAACCTTGTTAGTGTTATAGGTTGAGCACCACAATCAGAAAATCCAAACTGCTCCAAAATATGAAACTTTTCAGGACTGACATGACACCCTACATTTTAGAGTCTAGGACACTTTGGATTTTATATTTTTTGATGAGTGATACTCAACCAGTAAGTGCTATACAAATACACAAGTACAAAAGGGAAAAATCAAAACTTGAAACACTTCTCATCCCAACTATTTTGGATGAGCCATACCCAAGTTATGCTAAGTATTCTACCTCGTTATTTATGGCAAAAGATCAAGCATTCCTTTTGAATAGAAATGATTCTAGTTTTAAATAGTGATTTTCTAAAACGAAATAAAGTAGTCAACTAAAATCTAAAGTTTTAGTATAACTAAATGTAGAATTTCAAATATTATCTTTATGCTACAAAATGTTTCAGCCCATTTCCTACACTGGTCCAGGTTTGATCAGGATGAGATAACAATTTTTTAACTGATGTGTAATCATTCAAGTTAGGTGAACCATACCAGCCTTTTTGTTAGCTCACACTGCCTACCCTAAGTTCTACTATTTACTTACTCTACCTGTGGCCACTTCAACTGTCTGGGTTTCATTACAAAATGGATCTAATACCAGGGTCCACCTCAAGAAGCCATGGTGAGCTTAACTGAGATGATTTAAAGAAGGTTCTAGAAAGAACTTCATTGTAGGCAGCACTTGCTACATTCTTAATATTACATCCCATTCTGCTGAAATTGCCCCTTCGCTCTGAATTCTCACACCAATAATTGTTTGTATCACACAATGTGTCACTTAATTTCACATCACCATCCATTGCTTGCTACTATTTCCATAGCAGATCTGGGCTTGTAGGCTATGATTGATACCTACAGCACATTCTTCCAGAAGAACTGAACAGCATTAGAGGTAATCTGAATCCCCCTTAGACATGTATCTAATTGTTTGTGTATAAATGGAGATTCTTAAGTAAATTGTACACAGAATGTAGAGGACAGATAGGTAGACACCACTCCCCTGAAAGATCACGATGTCATCCTTTAGTGAGGAAGTTCCACCAGGAAAGCCAAAGATCACTGTAGGCTGTCCCTTTCAAGCCAGGTTTCATTGTCCAAGAGTATAATCTGTGACAAGAAGAAAATACAACACATTTTTGAAGTGTTAAAAATTCTTATGCAGTTACTGTATTCTCAGTGAATTTCTAAGGACTACCTATTAGTGTATTTGAATATTAAAATGCTGAAAAAGAGAGCAAAATGATCATTTGAACTCATTTTTTGTTATATACTAACTAATCAGTGCCTCACCCTCCCCGCAGCATACAGTTGCTTCCCTCTTGTGAGAAAAGCTTCAGGTTGACAGCGACAGCCTTTTCTGTTAGCGATGCAGCAAAGACACTTTCAGTTGTCTCCAGGTTTACATTTCAACACTCCAAATGTTCTTTACAATCTAATTACCATCTCATTTTTTCCCACATGTCTTCCTTATATGTTCATAATCATGACCTTAATTTACATAAATTAAATTCAAGCAGCTATCTCTTATTTCAGGGTTGGATGGTTTTTTTTTTTTTTCTTCTTAATACAGTGGTACTTTGATTTATGAACTTAATTTGTTTTGTAGTTTTGGCGAACATGACTACATTTGTGTTTGCATGGGGAAGATGGTGCTGGCCATGTATGTCAACTGATGTGGAGTTTGCAAATGGAAGCAAATTTTGCTGAATGCTTTTGTTTGCAAACTGAATTGTTTGCAAACAGAAGGGTTCATGAACCAAGGTACTACTCTATGTGGCTGCACTCCAGCTAAGACCCCTGTCATTCTTACACATACCATTACACTTACGTAGAATTTCCCTAAACTTCTCCAGAATACCCTTCATGATATTATAACACAATGAAGAGAATAAAGGATAATATTTTGGTGTATGGCAAATACAAGCAATGTTTGGGAATGGAAATGGATAATAATCTTGAAGTGCCAGAATGCATTTGGAGAGAAAATATTTTTCCAGATAATTTTTATCATTGTTTTTTTGAAAGGATCAGCTAATGCTTAGTATTTTGGGCCAATTTTATGTGCTTACATCTGGTAATCTGAACAACTATGTTGAAGATTACAACATACAATATAGCAACCATTGTTGATGTCCTATCACCTTGTTTTGAAATTCTGTATTGTTTTTAATGTTTTTTTTCTTTTTTATTTTCTTTAAAATAAAAAAAGAAAAGATAGAGCACATCTCATATATATAGACATGATATTTCTAGTGGTAATAAAGGGAAAAAAACTACATAACCTATAGGAATATGTTCCAATTTTTAAATTATAGGATTTATGAGTTCTACAATGTTTAAGAAGGAACAGGTTTTAATGTGACTCTATATTATGGTTTAGATACCTAATGTTCCCCAAAGACATCAGGGGTCGAGCTTTTGGAAGGGGATTCGATCACTGACTCACGCTAGT